TATAAAACAGATTTTGCAACAAGGCTAACTAAAGAAAGAGCAGGGAAAACAGAGAGGGTGGAGGTGTGGAGTCTTCTGGGCACTCGACCAGCAGGAGAGCAGCACATGGTCGCAGGCAGGTCGTGCGGGTGAGGCGAAGGTGGAACTGGAGGGTGGACCCGTGTGCAGGAGTTCTGAACTCTACCCTGAAGGCTCGGGGACAGCCCCTTAGGACAGGAAGTGTCACCCTGGCAGCAGCCACCTATCGGCCCAGGGCCAGACCAGTAAAGGCAATTGGGCAAGAGAAGGGGGTGGCTGAGTGTGGTGGGCCACGTGCCACGTTCCAGGGAAGCGGCCGACAGAGGCTGACCTCTTCCTCCCACCTCCCTGTCCCCCACAAACACACAACTACAACCAGAGCCTAGGGCCAGTGCAGAGCTTCGTGCTTGTGAACCCAGCAGCATCATGGAGGGTCCCACGCTCCAAAGGGATTTCCTCCCCAAGGGGGTCCGGCTCATCATCCGACAGCAGGTGCAGCCTTGGGTCCCCATCCAGAAACACACACGCCCCCAGCTGTCCTCCCCACACCCTGCGGGCTCTTCCAGGCCCGTTCCATGACCCTCCACAGCCCGTTTTCAATGGCACCGATGTTCAATGCCCGTCCTCACCCGTACCCACACCTGTCTGCTCCAGGCCGTGCTCCGTGTAGCCAACTCCCACCAAGGCTTCTCTCTCCACTCTGGAATACTTCCTTCTCTGGACTCCACAGCACCTCACTTTCCTGTTTTTACCAAAAGGCAAGACTTACCAACTCCAGCGGCTTCTTCCAGGCTTTGCTGCTGCCGTCCCTCCTCCTCCCACAAGAGCCCTCGACGCCGAAGCCTCTGGCCTCAGCCCTGGCCCGTCCCCACCCAGTCCCTCTAAGCACATGCGGCCAGTTCTGGGGCTTTCCGGTCTGTGTTCCCACCCTGGACCCTGGAGCCGCATGCACACGCGCCTGTGTGATTTTCATGCCACTGGGTCTGGGATTTGAACTGCAGTCAGCCATGTGAGAGTTCAGCGACATAACCGCCCCACCACCTGCCGGGCCCTGTAACGGCTTCTTACAGGGTCTTATTACTTCCACCCTTGCCTCTCTACAATTAAATTTCCACGGGAGAACTGGCACAAGTTTTTAAAATGACAAATCAGATCATGACACTTATTCTGAAAACCCTTGAAGGAGTTCCCGTTGTATTTAAAATAAAATATAAACGTGTCCCATGGCTTACGGGACATGCCGTCTGCCTCCTGTCTCCCAGACGCCACTGGGTACAGCTCCTTCCTAACTACGTCCCAGCCACAGGGCCTCCTTTCTCTTCATCCAACAGCAGCAGCTGGAGGCCAGTCTGCCTCTGCCTGAAGGCTCGGCAAGTACTTCTCTGTGTCTCCTCGTGACGGTCTTCTTGTAATTCCGATCTCAATTCAGATGCCACCTGCTCAGGGAATTCTGGCTAACCGTCATCTGAAGTTACTCTCCCCAGTACCACTGTCATTTTTTATTACAGCACTGAATGAAATCTTGGCTACATTCATTATCTGTTTCTCCTAACTAGAATGCACGATCTAGAAAGAGAGACCTCATTAGTCTGTTCTCTGCATATCCCGAGAGCCAGGTAACAGTTGGGCACCCAATAAACACATATGAAATAAGCAACTCAATCGTCCTTGTGTCTACAAATATTTCTTACGATGAAATGCAGGCACTTCAAGAAGTTCACAGGAAAATCCAATTAAAAATCAGAGTTTACGGGGCTGGCAGGTGGTGCAGTGGTTGTGGGCACTGGATTCCCACATGGCCAACTACAGTTCAAGTCCTGGATCTGGCGTCTCCCCCCCACCCCCTCACTCTGTCTCTCTCTGGTCAAATTAAAATAAATAAACTTAATAAACTTAAAAAAAATCGGAGCTTATATTTCTAGTATGCATCTTCCACAAACACTTGAAGGCCCCTTAGAAGGAAGGGCGGGGTAGGGAACCAGCAGTTAGCATAATGGCTATGTCGCTGGACTCCCACGTAGTCGACCGCGGTTCGTGTCCCGGACCCGGTGGCTTAAAACTCACGCCGGGCGCGTGTGCGTGCGTGCCCAAGATCCCGAGAGGAGAATGGAGGAGAAGGGATTGCGGCGCTCTGTCTGTCTGGCGAGCGCACGCACCCTACAGTGAAAATCTCTCCAAAAAAAAAAAGAAGGGCGGGCGGGTAGAACTGGCAGCTGCCCTCCGGGTCACTGCAGCCAGCCTATGGGATCCTGTCAACGCTCTATCAATTTCCTTCTTCCTATAAAAACGATGTCTTCTGAAAAATCTGTTCTCTAATAATCGCAATTTATAACAAAAGAACTGAAAGAGGCCCAGATCCAGGACTCCTGTAACCGTTCTTTCCTTCGTCAATGGCTCCAAGTAACCAAGCAGGGGAAATCGACAAATAAAAATGCACCTGTAAGGAGCTTATACACGGGCCAGCAGGGCACGGCAGCTGAAGCACGGGGTCCCACAGGGCCAGCTGTGAGGGTCGAGTCAGTGGCTTGAAAATCATGCCAAGTGCATGTGCACGTGTACCCCAAATCGCGGCGTGCCCAAGATCTCGAGAGGAGAACGGCAGAGGAGGGACTGGGCCACGGCCGCCCTCTCTGGGGGATGATTTCTCACTTTCTCTCTCTGTGACTCTGGTGAGTGCAAGGGCCTCACAGCAAAAACTAAAGAGCTTATAAACACAAGATGATAAAATTAAAGGAACACACCATCCCGGCAAACAGAATACGTACTACGTGGTAACCAGGGACGGAAGTCAGATGCTAGAACTTTTTAACAGATCTTGTACCCGGAACTATGATTTCTAAACAATGTGCTCGTCGGCACCCTCACAGGAATGCACTGAATGCTGGAAGGGGCCGGAGAGCTGACCCCTCCGGGCACAGTGCACAGCGAGCGGTCAGCAGGTACTGACCCAGAGCCTTCGAAGACTGCAGGGCATGAACACGAGCTTCTGTAACTTATGACAGTTCAAAGGAGCCTTTTAAAAACAAGTTTTTGGGTTTTTTTTGTTTTTAAATGGTGCTTGAACTTAAGCAGCGCGTCCTCAGCAAGTCGGCCGCTCTGTGCCATCCCTTGGGCACTCCACCTGTGCTCGGAGTGCTGAACGATGGTGGTTTGGTGCGTGGTGTTTGTACTTGAGTCTAATGCACGTTCCACATGACAGAGCCGTGATTACTGTGTAGCCATGGTTTTCAGGAGAAGTTGGTATTTTAGTAATTCTATTCAGATCTTAAACCAAACTTGTTTCTAAATTGCAAAAGCAAAAAAAAAAAAAAAAAAAAAAAAAAAAAGCACATGAGGAGGTGCTGAGTATTTCATATAACCAAAAAAAAACCAGTGTTCACAAAAGGCACTCGGGAAAACATGCTCTTGGCCACTCAGGGAGCCACGTACTGTGTGAGCTATTTCTTAGATGTGTGGATGGTCGTGAAGCTTCCTAAAAGCTGCAGAGGCCTCTGCAGTGCACACTCTGTACACCCCTGTGAAGGCAGGAGCGACCACAGGCGTCCGCAGGCCTGGCTGCCAAGGGGCCACAGGCGTCCACGGGCCCGGCTGCCGAGGGGCCACAGACTGGCCAAAACGGAGCTGAGACACTCGTGGTCCTTGCTGCTGGTGCTGGAGAAACCCTTCGGTGTTGGAGCACTTCCTTAGAACAATCATTTCCGCTTTTATTAGCACCTAGAGGCTGAGCAGAGTCAGCTGTAACTGTTAGGGCTCTGGGCCTGAAATAAAACATGAACGTCTAGCTCTTGCATGCTCAAAGACTTTCCAGACATACAACCGATCATTCATTATGAACAAAATTTTCAATACTGTCACAATATAAAAAAAAAATCCTTTAATTTTTCAAGTGTTTTTAGAAACAATTTTATACTGAAGCCAGCCTTGAAGAAAGCACAAAATGTACCAGTTTACATTAAAAAAAAAAAAAAAAAAAACAACCCACCCCCAC